AATTGTGTCTGTAACATTCTGTCAGTTGAAAATAAAATAAAATTATTTTAATAATATTTATAATATAGAAATTATTTATTTATTTAGTTGAATTTATAATATAAGTAAAGGGTGTTCTAATAATTAAATAAGATAAAAATATGTTTTATAAAATAAAATAAATATAAGATGAGCTAGTGGGCTTACTTTAATTAGTTTGTTTAATTAAAACTTGGTAGCTAGAATTTACCCTACTCAACATGAACTGATAGTATGGTGTGATTTAACATAAAACCTGCCTGGCAAGTCTATTAAAAAAAACCCTTATATTTTTTATTTTCCAAAAACTGCATATAAATCTCACACAGATGACATAAGAAATGTAACCAACTAGTAAGATTCCAAAATTATAGATCCAGTTTGACCTAATCCAGTTCATTGAATATGAAACTGAAAATTAGCAGAGGGATAACATACACCAAAGTTGCACCATTAACGAATTTATATACTTTCCCTTGCAAAACTATTGCCAATATACAAAGCAACTAATTTTTTTTTGTAATTTGAAAATATCTCTCTGGTTAAAGCAAAATTACAATTGAATATTATATGGGGGATTTTTTTAACAGTGCAAATCACAATGATTACCAAAGTAACAAGCAATACTGAATACCCCAACAACGGTATAGCATAATACTGGGAAAAATAAGGTCCAGATATATACAGTATCACAAATAAGATGGCACACTTAAAGTTCAAGTATTCTAATGATAAAATGGGATAATATTGATGGTTACAGTATAATCAAGTACAAATAATATGGCTTAAATGGAGTACTTTGAGCACCTCTTATAACAAGAGATAACATGAAACAGACTACAACAGGCATATCTAATTTACTTCATGCAGCACTTTATCAAATAATAAACTGTATGCATTCTTCAAGCCTAAAATAATACTTCTCAGCAGTAACTCAACAATGCTCAATCTGATTTCTCATAAAAGTAGCAGCAAACATAGAAAGTCTAAAAACATCAAATTGCTAAATCAATGAACATTAACAATACACATTAACAGAGGATAATGGAAAATTTAAGATCCATAAGACACAATCACATGATTATTATCATGAGGCTATTTTGAATTCTTTTACAATTTACATAATTCATACTGAATACACATAAATTTTCAACAAAAAGTTAAAGGTCGTATCTCTTGAGAAAACATACACAAGTAAATACTAAACACTAAACAGTAACAAAGGATGCCATGATTAGCCAAAGAGATGGAGTAAAAGAATGAATGAGTCTGGGAGAAGATGACCAAAACAAAAGGCCTCAAAGACTTGGACCAAGAGACAATAAACAGAGAAGCAACAAGGAATAAAGGATGCCATGATTTGCCTATTTCTCATAAGGTTTTCCGCAGAAACTCATAGAGCACTTTAATCCATATCAAAACTTATCTATTATTGAAATTAAACACATATTCACACTTAGAATCACACAAGGAACACAAAAAAACAATCAGAAAGCAAAACAAAAAACTTTCATAAAGTGTCTGTTCCTATAGGCATACATCAAGCAAGGGATTGGGGTCAATCCTGCTACCCAATAGTTATTCCTACACCTCTAGTGGGATTTCTCACTCCCCCCTTACCTTGATGAGTAGAAGACAAAGGACGTACGATGCTTCAGAGCACATATGTAGAAAATAAGGAGAAAGTTGTGAGAAGCATGAAAACAACTCCTGACTTCCTTTCTTAAAAACAAAAAAAAATAAATGATGATAATAATAATAATAATAATAATAATAATAATAATAATATCTAGCAAAAGACCACTACGTCCCTACTTCCCTCCTCATTAAATAATTAAAATAATTTCATCCTTTTAAAAAAATTAACATAAATATAATTCTTGATAAAATATATTTTTCATAAAAATAGTCTTATAGCAAATAATGCAAATATTAATTAAAAATCATGTTTTATATTAAAATAGAGGTCACATAAAATAGATAAATAATATAAAATATAATTCTCTTTTTTAGTAAAAATAACATGTTTTATATAAAAAATAAAACTCATATCAAATAGCTAAATAATATTAAAAATCTTTCTAATAAATACATTAAAATATTAAAATAAATACTACATAATATTAATATAATTTTATAAAAATTAGGGTGTTACAATAAACAACAACATAAAGACTATAATTCTTTGTCATTACAAAATAAAGATTACACAATGCATAAATAACACTAAAATATGCAATCTTTTCTTCATAATCCTACTGTTTTCAAGACACACAAAATACACAATAACAATATCATTGTCCAAGACAGTCCTATGACACAAACCAAAATAAATCCCTTCCTTCTCTCGTCAGTAAGCTTCTTTTGTAGCTTCACAATTTTGTTCCTTGCCTCTTCAAGTTGGTATTCAATTCCATCTATAGACTCATCATCTATATCCTCTTCATAATCCTCATTTACCCATTTAAAAAACTTGCATGAGTTGGGGTGTTGTAAAAATTAAAATAAAATAGTAGAAAGTCCAAATTTCAGCAGGTAAAAGAAAAAGCAATGAGAATCACATTATTATAAAAACAAAATACATACATTCATGTTACAACATCTCCAAAACCTTCTTCAACAGTTTGTTTCACTATTGGCTATGTAAACCAAAGCTTTTTACTCACACAAACATAGTTTCCACCTCCTCCTTAATGACAATGAAGCTATTGTTGTAGAAGACATTGATGTATCAAATCTATGGAAACTACAAGAAGAAGATGCCATGGAAGAAGCTCTCACACTCTCTCTACGGTGGCTTCGATTTACTATACAAAGGTTGCACTCTCACGATTTTGGTTACTTCCACAAGGGTTTTTCATTATAAAAAAGAACACTTTAAATTAAAGAGCAAAAATGTAAATTCCAACTATACAAAGTAATTACACATGACATTTGTTTATGTGTACTTCATTTGCCACATAAGACATGTTTTTAATGTTGTCCAAAATAACATGAAATTTGGGGATTAAAAAGATAAGTTTCAAATTTTGGGAACCAAGAAAAGAATGACCTCAAATTTCAAGGATTAAAAACATATTTAAGCCTTTATTTTATGATTCTATTTGCACCTGTTTGAAGGGCACACTAGTAAACTTCTCCAACTCTGAAGGTTGAACGAAAGCTCTAAACGAATATTCCGGTGAGAGGGAGGGTACTTGCAAAAGGCACTCCGACGCTCAAGTCAGGACAAGCACAGATATCGATAGTAATTAATGAACAGTGACATTACCTCGAGACATGAGCTATTTATAGTGACATTAATTAGCCCTGTCTTCCATGGGCCCCGTACTAGGATTACCAGATTAGATAATACGTCCCTAATTAACTTTATCCGAGCGATTACTCTTTAATCCTTGATTAGGGATAATTACTGACGTAATAATGTATTTCTCTGAGGCTTCGGTTTGGCCAATTGGGTATCGGTTACCTGGTGCGATCAATTGTCGAGAGTCATGCTTTCGACCACATCGCTTGGCCACTCTTATCAATTTTCCGTACTGAATGGTGTGGCCGAACGATGTTACCTGTACACTATTCTAAAAAGATAAGTTTATATATATATATATATATATATATATATATATTCACTTTTTATTGTAAAAATCATATAAGTATAATATTAAAATCACTAACATAATAAAAATGAAAAATGTAATAATAATAATAATAATAAGTTTGTTAACTAGAAATAATTATTTCAAATTTCCTTCTTGTTTAACTATTACAAAAATCTTACCAAATATCAAACAATCTTCTAAATGATAAAATTGAGTATGATAATCATTTTATATCTCCTTATTTGATTATTTTGATTATTTTTTCCAAATAAAGTTATAACACTTCTAAAATAAATATTAATAAAAGATATTAAATAATCTTCTAAATGATGTTTTAAGTACAATAATTATTTTAGATCTCTTTCTTATTTGATTATTGCTAATTATTGTAAATGATTTTTATCAAAATCTCAAATAACTTTTAAAATAAATACTAATAAACATATCATTGATAATCATTTTGGATCTTCTTCATGTTTAATTATTCTAAAAATCTCATTAAATATTAAACAAAATTTTAAATGATAGCTTAAGCACGAAAATTATTTTAGATTTTTTTTCCTATTTGATTATTGCAATAACTTCAAGTTGATCATGATAATCATTTTTTTTATCTCATTCTTATTTAATTGTCGAAATAAGTTTTCAAATAAAAAAAAACATAAATTAAATATATTAACTTATTAACATGTTTCTAGTCTAAAGAACCACTTAAGTTTGATTTCCTCATGCTCTTAAGGATATATAGGAGCAAAGATTCAACCTTATTGACTCAAAAGATAAAAAAAAAAAAAAATCCTTCTCTTTTTTGAAAATAATAAAATTTATTCAAAAATAAATTAATATATACAAAAGAGGTAAATAATTTTTTTTTCTTAAGGAGTAAAATAAATAATTTATAGTTACACTAATTTTATATATTTAATTAAAGTGAATTATTTTTAACATTTCGTAAAACACTAATACCTTCCCTATGTAAATGATTTTTGAACTCAAAATAATTATGGATGACGACTTTATTTTATTTTAATTTTTGTCATCTCATTGCGAATCCTACGATAAATATTTTATATTAATTAACAAATTCAATTGAAAAAAAGATAAAATATTTAGTAATAAGGAAACCTAGAACAAGCCAAACAATAGGGTCGATTGGGGAGTGGAGCAGTAGTTGACGTATTTTCAATTGTTCGTGTTTGTGTAAGGAAGTGTAGAAGCATGAAACTATTAGTGTGGAGTGTGAGCAAAGGAGTCTATGCTAAGTTAATTCACTCTTAAATGCAAATTTTAAAGGTTAGTAACAAATGGGGTAGCTTGATTCTTTAAATTGAACGAATTTGGTTTAAAGTTCTTAAATGTAAAAACTAGTTATTTTTGAAGATGTATTATAAAGGATAAAATTTTAGATATCACAAGTCTAAGCACATATATTATACAATGCAATACAATCAAATCACAGTGAGTTTCTGGAAATTAAATTTCACAATTTTTTACTTTATTAAATACAACATATCTTAAACTCTAATACTAAATAAATATCTTGCCCTTGTAGCAACCAGCAAAGCTTTCATCCCAGATCAGAAGAGTGCAGCACCTCTGCAGTAAACTATTGCATCAATGAATTAATAAACAATATTTAACATCACAAAAAAAACTGAATTATTTTATTTCTGATGTCAGCCTCTTTAAGCTACGTTCATGTTAAAGCATTAGAGTTAAGAGCTAGCTAATGAGTGCAGCACATTTTATTTTATTTTTATGTATGCGAAGCAATTCTTGATTTATGTAATTGCAGTAGAAGAAAACCAAGAATTTGAAAAAATAGAAGCTATAACATACCAGCCTTCGAGCTAGCAGCAACACTTTGCGACATTCACCATAATGTCCTTAACCATACATACATGTAACCAATGAATCTATTCAAGAACATGAGATAAGCATTTCTCCAAGGACGCCAAACAAGTATTGGCCCAATTAAGCCCCAAAATCCAATGAAGTACCCTACTCCCATGCTCATGTATAATGCCTCATAGAAATCTGAATCTTTACCTTTCCCTGCTGCTTCTTCAGGCTTCACCGTTGTTGTCCGATCTCCATCTCCAGGACAACTTTTGTTAATTTGTTCACCACAAAGATCAACATTTCCTTCAAAACTAGACGCATCATAGGTTTGAAAATGTCTTCCCATTGGGATTCTTCCAGAAAGAGAGTTGTGGGACAAGACTAGTTTTCCTAGACCATCAATTTGAGCAAGAGAAGAAGGAATTCTTCCACTGAAATGATTTCTTGACAAGTTAAGGTAATCTAGTGAACTTAAATTCCCAATCTCTGAAGGTATTTCTCCACTCAAATTGTTTCTTGCTAAGTTCAAAGAAACTAACCAAAGCAAATGTACTATTTCTTTTGGTATTTCACCTGTTAAATTATTGCATGAGAGATCAATGCTCTTAAGATTCAATTCAGGACCTCTGAACCCCTGTTCCACACCTTTCCACATCCATGTTATCTCAAACGTATAACCATTGGAATTCAAACTACCAAAAGCATCATATACACGTAGCTTAGTGTCACTTGTGTCGATGCTCTTTTCAGCCATTACGGTAAAATTCTTTAAGCATGTTGGAATTCCTCCCGACATGTAATTCCTTGAAAGATCCAATAATTGAATATATTTCAAATAACACAGATGAATAGGAAGATTTCCAGAGAAGTGATTTCCTCGCATGATAAAGATTATCAATTGCTGCATACTTTCTCCTATCCATGATGGTATTGGACCAGATAACTTATTTTCACCCACATCCAACATGATTAAATTTCTACAACTCTTCAAAGTAGAAGGTAATTCACCCGTTAAGTTATTATTTCCTAATTCCATAGCTTTCAAATTAACAAGGGTGCCCATGGACATCGGAATCTTCCCTGACAATTTATTGTTGCTTAAATCAAGAAACAGTAATGACTCTACTGATTTCCAATAATTTGGGAGTTCTCCCGTTATTTGATTGCTTGACAAAATTAAAGTCGTTAAGTTTGAAGTTTGACAGTATATGTGTTGGTTGCAGCATGAAGAATTTTCAATGAAGCTAGGAATTTCGCCATTCAACTTGTTATGAGAGAGGTCTAATATCTGCAATCTGCACATGTTCCCAATGGAAGACGGAATCTTGCCTTGCAATTTATTTCTATAGAGGTCAAGAGTTTCAAGAGAGTTCATCACTTTCCCAAATCCATCAGGGATGGGACCTTCTAACATGTTATCATAAAGGTAAAGGGAACGAAGATTGGTGGTGGAGTAAAAGAGCCAGTAGAATATAGTTGATGAGTTCAACAAATTGGAGGATAGATCAAGGGAGACAACGGAAGATGAAGAATTCATAACGGAAGTAGATGACATAAGGAAACTTCTATTCATAAGACTACAATTATACAAATAAAGATTTTGAAGTTTTGAGCCGATGTTGAAACCATCTTGAAAGACTAATGATGTCATATTATTATAAGAAAGGTCAAGGACCATAAGAGACGGAAAGCTTGGAAAGACCGAAAATGAGAAAACAATGTTATTATGAGAAAGATAAAGCTCTTGAAGAGTAAGGCTAATGTTTAACAACAGTTGAAATGATGAGGATGTCAGCATATTAGAAGAAAGATCAAGGATGGCAAGAGAAGAGGAAAAGTTGGAACCTGAATAAAACAGAGATTGAAGATCAGTATCTAAAAGAGAACAATTAACCAGCCTCAACTCTCTTAAGTTTGGAAAAAGCTTGTTGATCATTTGTAACCAATGATGGGAGGAGCCAAGATTATGAAAATAATCCAAGCGAAGAATTGTTAGGGAATAGAGATTAGAGAACCATTCAGCATCCTTAGATTTGACATCAAAATTTCCAGCAAGTCCAAGAGTGTGTAAGAAAGGAAGATTCCCAACCTGGAAAGGGAGTGCTCCAGAAAATGAATTTCCTGAAAGATCAAGATATCTCAACTGTGAGATATTTCCAAGTTGATAAGGGATTTCTCCATCGAGAAAATTATTGCTTAGATCCAGATACTGTAAATGTGTAAGCTTTCCAAGCTCACATGGAATGCTCCCGCCAAATCGAGAGTATGAGAGATTGAGATATGTTAAGTTGGTGAAGGAGCCAATGAGTTCTTGGATGTGACTCCCCAAAAAATCATTATTGCTGAGATCGAGATGTTGAATATTATGCAAGTCAATCAATGAAGTAAGATTGATTGCACCGTCCAAATATTGTGCACCTCCATTCAGATAACCACCATGAAGATCGATTCGTAGTACGTGACCAGTTTCATTGTGGCATTGTATGCCTCTCCATTTACAACAATTTGTATTGTTGTCACCGTCACTCCATGTAGACAACATGCCATGATCATTGAAGAGACTTTGTTTGAAGTTGAGGAGTGCTTGCCTCTCACTCTCTATGCATTTTATTTCTGCACTAAGAATAGATCCTGCAGCATTCGATAAAAGTAGCACAAGTGCATAAAATAGTTTCACAAAACAACTACTCATTATTTTTTTCTCATATGAAATAAATGGAATCAGTTTTATCTCTTAATTGTGGGGTATGAAAGATTGAGGCAATACAAGATATATATAGCGCAGATAGTATAGTTAAATCACAAGTTTCAAAACATTAGATTTAAAATTATACTTTTGTTTTTTTTTTTTTGCTTATTGTTACGAAAATTAAGATAAAACTAAAAACAGTAATATATAAGCAAAAGATTGAAAAGATAGATATAAGGGAGAGATTGAGAAGTGACTTCTTTCCTACAATGATATAGCTTTTTTCTTAATGTAAAGAAATAAAGACAAGAAAAGAAAATAAATAATCCATTTATAGACATAAATTACCTTTACAAATATTTTAATAGTAAAATAAAATATAAATACTACTAATAGACATTCAATGTTAAATACTCATAACAGTTATTGTACTAACATAAATTTATACTATTGTGATTTGATTTATTTTTACTAAATCGATTCTTAATAAACGATTGACTTGTGATGGAATTCCATCTCTCAATTGGATTCCTGATCTACTTCGAAAGAGTCTCTTAACAATCGTAACTCAGAAGTTTCAAAGCAATCAAAGCATTTAAAATAACAAAAGGTAAACAAAATGCATAAAAAGACAAAAATTTGGCAAAAAAGAAAAAAAAGAAAAGAAAAAAAAGACTAGACAAGGTTGCAAGGAAAGTTGATAAAGATAACTTTAAAGGACAAAGGTTATAGTATAAATTTCATTGATTTTGGTCATGGAACTTCTTTACAACTTTTATTTCACACTTCACACTACCATTTTAGAACTTTAAATGCCAGAAAGCATCATCAAAGATGGCGGCAAAGACATTGACGAGAGTAGGGTCAATTGGAAAGTGCTTTGCAAAATGTGTGAATGATGGACACATATACAAACTTTGAAGTCCGAGTTTGTTTTTATGATTAGTGTTTTTTTTTTTTAATTCATGGTTGAACTAGGAGTTGTGACTAAAGAGTATAGGTATTAGAGAGATAAAATTTTAATACTTTCGAATATTAAATTTTGGAAATGATAAAATTTGAGAAATGTACGCTGAAAATTTATCCTTTTCAAATTTTAATTTCACAAATGTTAACATTTTAAAACTTTTCGAATTTAATTTTCAAGAAGTTAAAAATAACATGTATATAAAGGCATATAGTCTTGTTAGATACCAATGTTTGTTAGTCTAACAAATTCTGCTATTAGTTCTCAAGATTCGATATTTGAATTTGATAAATAAAAAAAAAAATTCAAGGAGAGTTAACTTTAATAAAGTTATAGTTTCCACCGAGTCAATTATTAATAAACGATTAACTTGTGATGGGATTCTATCTCTCAATTGGATTCATGGTCTACTTCGAAGAGTCTCCTAACAACCGTAACTCAGAAATTTCAAAACAAATAAAACATTTAAAATAACAAAAGGTAAACAAAATGCATAAAACGACAAAAATTAGGCAAAAAGAAAAGGAAAAAGAAAAAGAAAAGACTAGACAAAGTTGCAAGGAAAGTTGATAAAAGATAGCTTTAAATGAAAAAGGTTATAATATAAATTTCATTGATTTTGGTCATGGAACTTTTTTACTTTTATTTCACATTTGGCACTACCATTTCGTGGAAAATGCCAGAGCGTAAGATGGCGGCAAAGACATGAATTGACGAGAGTTTATTTTTATGCTTTGCAAAATGTGTGAATGATGGAATGGACACATACAAACTTTGAAGTTGGAGTTTATTTTTATCATTCATGTTTCTTCTTCTTCTTTTTTTTAATTCAGGTTTGAACTAGGAGTTGTGACTAAAGAGTATAGGTTTTTGAGAGATAAAATTTTAATACTTTCGGATATTAAATTTTGGAAATGATAAAATTCGAGAAATGTATGCTGAAAATTTATCCTTTTCAAAGTTTAATTTTCATAAATGTTAACACATTTTAAAACTTTTCAAATTTAATTTTCAAGATGTTAAAAATAACATGTATATAAAGACATATACTCTTGTTAGATACTAATGTTTATTAGTCTAACTAATTCTGCTATCAGTTCTCAAGATTCGATATTTGAATTTGATATAAAAAAAAAAATTCAAAGAGAGTTAACTTTAATAAAGTTGAAGTTTTCAAAGAGTCAAACATTACTAGAAAAGTATTACTTTCATGCAAATTCTCTTACAAAAAAAATATTTGTAAATAATTTACAGATATTTCTTATAATTGTTTTAATAAAAAATAATTTGTAAGAAATTTTTACAAATTTTTCTACCGTTTAAATGATCGTAGAATTTTTATTTTTTCATGATAAAATTTGCAAAAAATGTTTAAGAAATTTATTTGTTTATTGTAGATTTTCTTGTAAAAATAAATTCCAAAGTAATTTTTACTCAAAGATAGAATAAATTTGAAGATAACTTTTCTTGCGAATTTTTTGCCAAATTTAATTTGTAGCAAAAATAAAAAAATTAAATTTATAAGTTTAATAATTAAAGTATTTTTAATTAAAAATATTATTTTACTTAATTATTTATAAATATATCATTATAATTAATTTTTATTGTAATTTTAATTAA